CCCTGTTGGCTGTAGCTTCCCGGATTTCTGTCCAAAATGATGTGTGAACAGTCCCATTATTGCCAAAATAGAAATGTTAGGGGCACAACCCCAACCACACTCTCCACCACACCTCCTCTCCCTCTATAGTGCATTGGGCCCCACGTCAAATTTTTTTAAAAAAAATGATGTGGGGCCTAATGCACTATAGAGGGAGAGGAGGTGTGGTGGAGGGTGTGGTTGGGGGTGTGCCTCTATCACCCCTCTTGCCGAAATTACTCTTTATAACCACCATCAGTTTACATCTTTTACCTTTTTCTTTGCTCTCCAAACCTGATGTTTAGTAACATCCAGCTTGAGCTAGCTCGAGATCGTCCTCGCTATGTCTTTCATGGCCCAATTTGGATTATCCCTTAACATGTTCATGAGCCATTCAGCTATCCCAGATGCATTTGCCTAAGAATTTCTGAACATTTTCTCTGGCATGGGTGTGTATCATTTAGGTTTTTTATTTACCGAATAGCTTTGTCCTTGTCCCATGCATCTACCATAGCACCTCCCTTCACAAGCTTTATCCTTACAGGTTGTAATAGTTTTTCGCCCTTGTCTCTTCTTTCATACGACGTCGACAAACCTTCTTAACGCAACGACATTTCTAACTACACTTCTAAACTCTGCAGGGTAGCAAATTGCATTCCCCTTTCTAAACGAGGCTTATTTATTTAAGTGTTTATTCTCATTAAACTGAAGAAAAAGGTGTCACTGCGACGTATTCTACCCCTGATCGAATCTGTCGGAAGACGTCTCAATTCATCGCTATCTTCACAATCAAAAGCCCCATTTGCTCTCTTCTCTTGCTATCACGCGTCTACCTCTTCTCCTTCCTCTTCATCAACAACTTCATCTTCATCTTCATCTTGAAATTCATCTTTATTTTCTCTAGGTTCATTGTCTGCAGCATAACCCTCGAACAAGTTAAATTGTTGAAACATGTCTTCATGGCCTATATTATCCTCATCTTCATCTCCAATAGTACAGTCAACATGTGAAATATAGATACGAGAAAAATTGCACGTTCCAACTTTTTCTAAGAGCTCTTTTCCCATTGACTGCGGATCCCAAAGAAACCAATCCCTTGTTAATATACATCGTAGGATTTTGCAAGCGTACCATGCAGTTGCCCTAATAACCCAACAGGGCCGGCCCTGGGGTAAGCCCACTAAGCCCCGGGGCTGGAGCAACCGAGGTTCGAAGGAGGAGTGGGCTAGGGCAACCCAAACCCCAGGGCCGGCCCTGTAACCCAACGTAGAAACATGGCCTGTGATCAAACTGTAATCTACAAAATGTGAATAGTCCCACATTAGAAAATGAGTTTACATACAAGATGAAATACTATTCATTCCACTGTGTAGGCAATAAAAATTACCTTAATCCCTGCGCAACAACTTGGAACAAGCAAAAGAGGTTAAAGGTCCATTTGTGGGAAGGCAGGCCTACTCCCCGAGAGTCCAGCCGTCTCAGATGACTTGAAGGCGACTCCCAGAGAGTCCAGCCGACTCAATCCCAAGTCCAGCCGACTCAGTCCCCTTGTAGCCGACTTAAAGGGCGGCGAAGTCCTAAACCCCGAGCCGAGACCCCTTAGTCGACTCGAGGTCCGAGACCCCGAGACTAGAGACCCCTCAATGTCAGATGACTCATAATCCGAGACTTCGAAGATCGCATGGCCAAGACCCCCTTGTCGACTAGAAGGGCAGTGTCAGTCTCCCGCTCGAAGTCGACTCGCTAAGAAGATTTCGGGCCGAGACCCCTCGTCGACTCGAAGGACGGTGTCAGTTTTCTGCTCGAAGTCAACTCTCCATCATGAGTCGACTCGCCAGCATAAGTCGACTCGCCAGCACGAGTCGGACCAGCTGAAGGCTCGAGCTCGCCTGAAGGCCAAGCTCGCCTGATAGCTTGCAGCTCGTCTGCGCAGACCAAGCTCACCTGACAGCTAGACACTCGCCAGCGCTGTCAACTGTCCACCTGGAGTATGGGAACAGTCACATCAGTGGTCATATCCCACGTTTCAAGGGAAAAAGAATGGCTTCCCTGCTCTACAAATAGCCTCTAATGGCTACAAGAATAGGGCGGCTGACAGGACCTCTTAGGTGGTCACATCCCACAGCTAGGGAGAATGGTCTACTTGTGGTCAAATCTCACAAATCAAGGGATGGTTCATACCATCCCTTGCCTATTTAAAGCCACGTACATTCAGACAGCGTGAAAGGGGTTGATTGGCTGCTGCTTGTTTGGTCGACTAATCATCCAAATGTTGAACCTTGGCTTTTGCTAAAGCCTCCCTCATTGGCTAAAGATTACAGAAGCTTAATTGCCCCTAGCTCTCTCCAGGCTCGGGTAGACTCGAACTTAATCACACCGGAGCCGAGCTTCTACTGAGAACTGAAGCTCCAACCGCAACGTCTATCGTATCGTCCAAGGGAAGCAAACTTAGCGCGAGCACCGAGGGAGGCGTCCTACCGCTACCGAAGAACCCACCTTAAACAACAAGGGACATTCCCTTCTTCTCTATTGTAAAACATTGATTGTAGTTTGTAATAAGCCATTCTTATAAACACAAATGACCCCTTGTCGGGAAGTCAATTTTTACACACAACTCACTGTAATTACATCTATCTTGCCTCCCACATGTTTTAGTCTTGGTGATTGGCTGAAATGACCCCCATGGTGTACATACAATTCCTTCACCATTGTGAAGTGCAATTCAGTCAAAAAACTAAACCAAAATTCAACAAATATTAATTCTAACATTTGCCAAAAGTATTAACAAAAATATTATGAAGAAACCCCAAAACTGTAACCTCAAAATATCTATAATCTTAAAACACTCATCTGATGGAACAATTTAAACATTCAAAGGAATTGTAAAACACACATAATTTTGAGCGAACCCAAAAAAAAGACACGGGGAAATTAAAAGACTGCGCTAACATCTCCTAGGGGAGTACTAAGGTGGAGGCGGGATTATTTTGTAACTTCATGTTCTCTTTGTTGATAAACGGTGTAAATTAAGAGCCACGCTTCGTATGGTAGATGGGAACAATTCTATCTTTTCATTCATGCTTACTAAATATGATGTGCTTTTAAATGTTAGGAATGCCATTCTCACTTCTCATCAATTCTCACTTAACGTGAAAAAATTGCTATTCACAATGAAGGAATTGATATTCTCACGTAAGTGAGAATAAGAATAATAAAATAAAATCCAGATATACCATTCTCAAAGATATTCTTATTTAATTCTCTAATTGCACCCAAACATGAGAATGAGAATGAACATTCCATTCCCACATCAATTCCATTTCATCCTCACCTTCATTCCATCCTCATTTGACTCTATTCCTGTGTACCTAACGAGGCGTAAAAGCCGCTCGGGGCATCCATTGGTCAAAAGTGAACTTCAGGGTATCAAATTCGAAGTAGGTGAAACTTTGGGGTCCCAAAGTAGCCTTAATTAAGGACAAAATTTTAAAACCATCCCCTTTAGGATTTTATTTGCAAAAAATGACCGGTTTTGAAAAAAATTGTAAAAACCGACCTGTTTTCAGCCTAGCGCTGAAAACAGGTCGGTTTCTATAAATATTTTTACGAAACTTCACGGGAGTTCAACTGCCGTGAAGTTTAGTGCATTTTTTAATATCACGGGAGTTGAACTCCCATGAAATTTAATTTGTGCATAAATATTCACGGGAGTTCAACTCCCGTGAAGATTGATGACATACTACGTGAAGTTGAGTTGGTGCCCAAACTCCACGAGAGTTGAACTCCCGTGGAGTTACAGGCGACATTTCCCAGAGAATTGTTCTCTGGGAAATGCAGCCTCAACTTCACGGGAGTTGAACCGACCGCCGCCACCGCCGGTGCTCCCGACCGCTTCCGCCGCCTTCGCTGACTCCGTTCGTCGCTCAGATCTTCGTTCGTCGCTCAGATCTCCCGACCGCTCCCGACCATTTTTAAGGTAAATTCTTCCTTAAAAAATTTGTACTCTTAATTTTTTGTATACTCTTAGTATTTCATGGTGATTATATGTAAAAAATTAGATTTTAGTATTTACTTATGAAATTTGTGAAGAAAAAATTTAAAACAATTGTGTAATTAGTGGGGAAATTATCAATAATTGTTGAAAAGAGTGTTACTACATATGCATGACATGAATTAGATTTTAGAATTTAATTGTGAATTATTTATGAATTTTGTGAAGAAAAATAAAATAATTTTGTGTATTTAGAGGTGAAAATATCAATTAATAATATGTATAACGATGAACGATCAATAATTAAATATTATGTATTACTACAAAAATGTATAAATTAGTAACAATCAATAATTAAATAATTTCGTGTAATATTGATCTTGAATTTTTCACTCTACAGAGGTAACGATGAACGATCGAATCGTAATTCTCTGTTCTTATGATGGGAAGATTAATTACCTCGAAAATAATATGCCTGTATATGAAGGCGGCGTGACGAGACCGTTATTCATAACAAAATCGTGTACTTTCGATGAGTTGGTTAATGAATTACACAAACTTACATTAACCAATTCACGTGAGTATCACCTCAGTGTGGTTTGCAATTATCCTGTTGTGGGGAACAGAACAAGTGGCATTCAAATATCAAGTGACTACGATATGAGTCTCATTCATGTCTTACACGATGAGAAGCGTTCGATCGAATTGTTCATTGAAAAACATCAGAGGGATTTGGGCAAATCGTTGAATTAGGAAGGAATGTATTCCCGCATGCTGGAGGACCCTGAAGTTGATTCTGTAGGCTTTTTATCTCCTCAACAAGAACCATGTTGGACACAATCACAATACATGAGTGGTCCTTCGTTCGTGGGCACTTCGAATGCTTTCGATACTAACACGGGAATTCAAGAAGATAATGCAAGTGTCGAATCAGAGAATAATGATGAAGAGGAGGGATTACAAATTAATAGAATGACCTTGATAAATCGCGATGACGGGGAAAACCAACATATCGACGGTTGTTATGCTAATAATGAGTATGTCGTATTAGAGGATCCGCCGCCCGATGAACTACAAGGAGATGAATGAATTGATAACTCCGTGATGGAAAGTGTTCCTATTGACACTAATATCGGTGTTAATACACAGGCCGAGGACTTCTCATTCATGAAGGGGGAGATCTTTACGAGAGTAAGGAGAAATTGATCCATGCGCTTCGCACATATTCCATTGCAAAAAATGTGAAGTTCAGGCCAACTAGAAATAATACTACAAGCTATAATGCGGTTTGTTTCTATCGCAAAGATGGCGATGATGAAGATATTGGTGGACACCATAACAGCAATGTGAAATGTCCGTGGAAGCTTAATTCACGCTCCGGTGTAAGAGTAGGCGGGCAATTCAAAATCACGGCATACAACGGACTCCACACTTGTAGCAATCCTCGATTAGAGATGAATAACAAGAATGCATCCTCTTCCTTCATATATCGATTGATTTTACCGCATCTGAGGGAGGATTTTGATCTAAGGCCGAAAGATATTCGTCTTCTAGTGCAAAAAGCCACCAACTTGGATGTATCATATCACAAGTGTTGGAATGCTAGGAGGAAGGCGATGATAAAAATATTCGGTGATTGGGATAAATCGTATGAGATCTTACCTCATTATCTTAAAGCACTCAAAAGAGAAAATCCGGGGACTATCTACAAAGTATCTTCGGACCCTATTGATGGCGGAGAACGGCGGTTCACCGGTGTATTTTGGGCATTTGGGCCATGTATTGAGGGGTTTCGATATTGTCGTCCTCTTCTTAGCATTGATGGCACCCACTTATACGGCAAGTACAAATGCGTTTTGCTTGTTGCCACCAGAGTTGATGCGGATGGCGGTTTCTTTCCTTTGGCGTTTGCAGTGGTTGCTATTGAAAACACAGAGAATTAGGTGTGGTTTTTTGCATGCATTAGGTATCATATCCCTAGTGTGGGGACGCGGCCGATTACATTCATATCTGATAGGATGAAAGGAATTCCAAGAGCACTCCAACGTCATTTACCGTCACCACATGCACATCGTTATTGCTTGCGACATATTAGGGACAACTTCAAGAAGAAATATGGAAACAGTCAGGTTCAAGACCTTCTTTGGCAAGCCGGCTGTGCAACAAAAAAATTAGTTTATGACCAAATACGAGAGAGGATTAAGTTTATCTCCCGAGCTGCACATGATTGGATCGAAACTAGTTTGGGACCACACAATGTTGATAAGTGGGCTTTATGTGAAGATGGCAGGAGACGGTTCTGTATGATGACTACGAACGCTTTAGAGAGTTTTAATGGCGTGCTCAGGGGAGCACGTGGTATGCCAATACAGTCACTAGTTGCTAAAACATTCTACAAACTTAATAACTTCTTTCTACGACGTCACGAACTTGGTGAAAATATCCGCTCGGAGCTCACACCGAAAAATGATGAAATGTTAGCGGCTCGAATTGTGCAAGCTCGATCATTTCATGTCGTAAGATACAGTTTTAATGAATGGCAGGTCATTGAGGGAATATCACATAGAGAAAATTGCTCTTACAAAGTTAACATGCTCGTGGATCACTCGTGTACGTGCACTTGCAATGTACCGCAATTACAATGCATTCCTTGTTCACATGTTGTCGCGGCTTGTTCTGATCTACAAGGTGGTGCGAGGATTTCACATTATGAGTTCGTCGAGGCTTGGTATTCTACTTACAACTATCGACAAACATACAAAGAGTGTTTTCGTCCACCATATGATAGTCGATATTGGACACAAGACGGGCCACTGATATTGCCTCCTTTGTATAAAAGGTCGGCGGGGCGCCCTCGTTCCGTACGAATTAGAAATTGTATGGATGACGGTCGTGAAGGAGTTAGGAGGAGAAATAAGTGTAGTATATGCGATCAACCGGGCCATAACAAAAATAATTGTCCAGTTAGGATTAGGCGTTGATGTTGTAATTTGTAGCGGTTTCGTTCCGTGTTTGTTTCCGTATGTCATTTGTGATTGTAATTTGTAGCGGTTTCGTGAGTTGTTTGTTTCCGTATCTCATTTGTGATTGTAATTTGTATCGTTTCGTACTATGTTATGAGTTGTTTGTTTCCGTATCTCATTTGTGATTGTAATTTGTATCGTTTCGTACTATGTTATATAAATTTCTTGAGTTGTTTGGTTTCGAGTTATTGCTTTCTTCACGTTGCGCATTCGTTTGTTGTTTATATATAACTAGATGAGTATTTTAACAGAAAGATCTAACACATTGTACATTGTCTTCTAATATAATTCTCAGTTATATTCATTATGGATCCGGGACCGATATGCTCCGATGTTTTGACCCTCCAGGCGATCCACGTTTCAGACTATATTGGCTCAGGACAGGTAAAACATCTTTTGTATATGCTAGTTAGCATTGGCACTAATCTTGAATTTTTCGCATTATACTTAATCAATTCTTTTTGACGTGCAACCCGTACCAGACATCACGATGATCGAGTATTCCCAGAGCCATTTAGCTTGGGTCGTTGAGGATGCGAGAGTTCTAGCGCTGATCTCTCAGGCCGGTTTTCGGGAGTGTTCGACGGTTCGATATATCAGACTTGATTGGTCGCTTATCACTGCATTGATTGAGAGGTGGAGGCCAGAGACCAACACCTTTCACATGCATATAGGGGAGTGCACCATCACTTTACAGGACTTGGCCATCATACTTGGGCTCCGGATCGATAGGCCGGCAGTTACGGGCACCAATGATCATAGTTGGCCGGAGGTATGTGCCCGGCTTCTTGGACAGGTTCCTGACTTGAGGAGTGGTGCGATGAAGCTATCGTGGCTTCGTCAGACATTTTAGGGTGACATACTAGAGGATGCCAGTATGGAGACGCTTCAGTTCCATGCTCGTGCTTACATATTGCACATGATAGGGTGCATGCTTTTTCCTGATGCGAGCAAGACTCTTGTACATGCACGATGGCTGCCATTGCTGTAGGCATGTAAAATTGCTTATAAGTCCCTTGGTATAGCTCGGCGCGGTGATTCGACAAACCATCGAGTGACGAGCCAACGAGGTCAACGAATCACACGCGAGCAACGGAATGCATCCATTCGCGTGCAGAATCAAGCCAAGGGTTCGAAGAGTCAATGAGTCATCCAACCAAGGGCAGACTCGGACGAATCACGATCGAATCAAGATCAGTTTCGGACTCGAACTCAGAAGTGGATTTACTGCCAAATCAGGAATCGGATCTACTGCCAAATCAGATCAACAAATCAGAGTCTAAGTCAACCGAAAAATGGAAACAACGGAAAAACGACGACGACGAAACCCAACGCCTAAGGGGGGCTCGGCCAAAGCCGAGCCACCCATGGGTGGTTGGCCCAGTGCCGGCCACCATAGGGGCCGACCCAGATCTGTGCGCGGCAGCAGTTCAGAAGAGCCTAGTAAATAGGCCCCCACTTGTTCGATTTGTAAGGGTGACTTTGAGAGCCGTTACTCTGCGAATTGAAGATTGAAGCTCAGAGTTTTGAAGACTTGAGGGACTTGAAGATTCAAGATCTTGATTCTCGGCGAGAGACGTCCACAGGTCACAAAGCGAGGAAGTTGCGAGAGAGGTAAGATCAGATCTGAATCTTACACGAGATCACACTCTGCCGGCATCAAAAGCTTGGCCTTTGATCCAGAGAACTAAGGGCGATTATTTTCCGCTTGGTGAACTATCCAGACAGCCCCGGCTATTATTTCTTTCGCGAAATAAAATACCCGTCGAAATCGTGTAGCTCCGACCCGGATTAATCGCAGCGGTGGTCCACGGATTAAACACCGGCGTTGCAAAAGAAACGCCACACAAGCGAGCGACCCCGTAAAAACAGGAAGCTCGCGATTTGTTCTAAAGGAAGAAAGTGTAATCTTTTTATTTTCTTTGATTTCATTGTAACCGGTCTAAAAAGACGGATCTTTTGTATAAAAAAATCAATTACTATGAGATAAAAAAGACGCATGAATTCGAATGTAGGCAGTAATTGCTATAAGTCCGCTTGGCATAGCTCGGCACAAACCGACGAACCAACGAGGCGACGAGGTTGATGAATCGCACGCAAACAACGGAATACATCCATTCGCGTGCGGAATCAAGCCAATGGTTCGGGGAGTCAACGAGTCATCCAAACAAGAGCGGACTCGAATGAATCACGACCGAATCAAGATTGGTTTCGGACTCGAACTCAGAAGTAGATTTACTGCCAAATCAGGAATCAGATTTACTGCCAAATCAGGTCAACAAATTGAGTCCAGACAAATCAACCGCACAACCGAATCACGGATAAAACGGATAAATAGGCTCCCCTTTGTTCATTTGAAAAGGTTGGAACTTTGAGAGTCGAAACTCTGCCGAATTGAAGATTGAGCTCAGAGTTTTGAAGACTTGAAGACTTGAAGATTCAGATCTGATTCTCGGCGAGCGTCCACGTCACAAAAGGCAGGAGTTCGAGAGAGGTAAAGATCAGATCTGAGATCTACACGAGATCACACTCCGGATCAAAGCTTGGTCTTTGATCCCGAGAACTAAGGGCGATTATTTCCTTGGTGAACTAATCCCCCCCCCAGCTATTATTTCCTTCGCGAAATAATACCCGTCGAATCGTGTAGATCCGACCGGATCTAGATCGCGCGGTGGTCCACGGATTAACCCCGGCGTTGGCAAAGAACCTACACAAGCGAGCGACCGCAAAACAGGAGCTCGCGATTTGTTCTAAAGGAGAAAGTTGTAATCTTTTTTATTTTCTTTGATTTCGTTGTAACCGGATCTAAAAAAGACCGGATCTTTTGTAATAAAAAAGCAATTACTTGAGATAACAATGAATTCAAACGATTTTTTCCGCGAACAATCTGGCGACCACAGTGGGAGCCGCCGATCTCGCTGCCGAGATTGTCACGTCGCAGCCGCGGATCTCAATTCCGGTTGTGGAGGAGGTCGAGTATGAATTCGACCAAGCCAAGTTCGAGGAGTACCTTTCGTCCTCGTCCGGATCAACCTCCCCCCGCAAGTCCAAGAAGCTCTCCTCCAGGAGAAAAGCCCGTTGGTTCGAAGAAGTTCAAAACGCCAACGAAGCTCTCACCCCGGCTGACGCCAAAGTTGCGTCGGGTAAAGTTCCACCGACCTCCGACGAGGTCAAACCTATTCTTGCCGACGCCTCTACTATTGAGGGCGTTGTGACTCTCTCAAAGAGAGCCCGCCAGAGGCGATGTCAACGCCTCGCGCGGCAACTCGCTAAGGCAATGGAGTCTACAGATGGAGTCCGCTACAACGCGGATTTGAAGAATAGGAGAGGCAAACAGCCTCAACAACTGAAGAATGGCGGTTCCTCTAAGCTGCCGACGAACGAATGGATCCGGGTCAAACGGAACCGTTCGACACTCGAAGAGCGAATTCACAAACGCCGCGCATTGCTTGCACAGGCAAAAATCCTCGTGCAGAAGGCCGAGGAATTAAAGAAAGAAAGAGTGGTCAAGAAGCCGCCATCAACCCGCCAAGTGTGGAGGCCGAAGCAGCCTCCAACCAAAGTTCAACCTCCGGTGAACCAACCAAAGTCGCCGGTAATCCCAATAGCTTCTACGGGAGATCATGTAGAGTCATCTCGAAGGAAGAAGCCAGTTTTGGAGCGCCTCGGTCCGATTCCCGACGAGAGAGGCAAAGCTCCTGTTCGAGATCGTTTAGGCCCGATGAAGAAGCCCTAGACGACGCAACATGCTGGGGGTCGCCGTCACCTCCAACATGACAAAGAGACTAGGGCAGCTACGCGCACCAACTTGCGCATTGAAGTCCAGGAGCCCGTCGAGAACTCACGCCCAAAAAGGCAAGCCCAAAGAAGGTAGTTCGCCCTCAGAAGGAAATATTATCACCTGATGACGATAATGGTAT